GACTGGACTCTCAACTGCGGAGTGCACTAGTGACTTGTCAGGGTTCAGATATGATTCCTTCCTTCACACTCCATTTAGTGGTTGATGGAGGGTTAGGAATCAGTAATCATCATTCCCTGCTGCTTCACTACTTAAATGTATGGTCTGAGCAGATGAGTAAGTGTGGGAGCATACACTATGTGTCTTTACTAAATCCCGCGTAAGTTAAGGTGTCCTGTGAGCTGCGAATCCCCCTTGTCACCCCTGGTTCCACAGCACCGCAGCCCTGCAGCACCACTGAGACTCGCAACCCACAGTTCACACAACAGCACTACAGCGGTTATAATTAAACTCAGTGGTTATGTTAAGGTTGTTTAGCTATTTAACTAACAGCTCCTGAGCCAACCTCATTAGTACATGTATTTAGCTCTAGCAGTGATCACATCCGTGAATTGGTTAATAATCAGCTGTAGCATATGTGATAGATGAGACACATGCTGGGATAGCTCTTCCCTTGAAAAGTGGATCCACAAGCTAAGTAATACACATCAAATGCCCTCCAGTGTTCAGAGATATGTCAGCAACTTCCAGATCCCACAAGTTAAGTAACACACATCAAACTGCCCTCCAGACTTAGTGTACAGAGATATGCCAGCAACCTCCAGATCCCACAAGTTAAGTAACACACATCAAACTGCCCTCCAGACTTAGTGTTCAGAGATATGTAATCAACTTCCAGATTGCTATCACATTGCCATAGGCTACTTGCTCTTTGAGGAGTCTCTCCTGGGTCCTTTAGGTGCGATGACAGCTTGAATCCCTCCTGGTCTTTGTTCAACGTGCACCGTTCACAACGGTCGGACGCTGAACAACCCTTCCTGCTTCCTTAAATCCCTCCTCGCCGAGCGCGGCGGGGAGGAGCTGGGTCCCGTCCATGACGGAGCTGACTGGGCGGAGCTGGCTGCCGTCCAGGACGGCCCTGAAGGGGAGGAGCTAACGACCGTTCTGAACGGCCCTGAAGGGGAGGAGCTAACGGCCGAGCTGGCCGTGATTGGCCCCGCCAGACAGCGCTGGACCGAGGACGGGTAAGTCTGTTACAGTGTCATACGGAGCCTTGTGATGCTATCATTATTCTCTATAGTGGTTACGTTCGTAATATGGTGATATGATGAGATTTTAGTAGTGGTGTCTTAAGATTTTTATTTTGATGTAACTTGGCTATATGGTGCTGCCATGGGTCCATGGTGGGGCTCAGTTGCACAAGACCCCATATGACATGCTTTTAATTTTATGTCATATGGGGTCCTATGATCTCAATGTTGCCCTTTTTGTTGGTTAAATGAACAATATGGTGGTATAATGGATCTGGCTAAATGTAAAAAGGTATTTTATGGTGCTGTGGTAGAATTTGTTTTTGTAACTTGGTTATATGGTGCTGTCATGGGTTAATGGTAGGGCATAGCTGGGCTTCATAATGACAAAGCTTGGTGGTGTCGTATGGGCCTTTATGATTTCACAATTTCTCTTTATGATAGGTAAATAAACATTATGGTGGTATAATGGGGTAGCTGGTGGTATGATAGGATTTTATGGAGTAATAATAATAGAATAATTTCCAACAAATGCATTTTTTTTTAAATGCAGGGAATGTAAGTACCTTAATATGACCTGGTATCAGCCAGGGCTCAGAGCCTGAGAGGAAGAAGCAGAAGAAAGAGCCAATCAGTTCATGTGCTGACAAAAAAACATATTGTTAGGTGGAGAGAGCAGAGTGACAGAGGGATGAGCTCATCACTATGCTCGCTTCTTCTTTCACTGTCCAATAACAAGCTAGGGTGGGTCCAAGATGACCTGGCCTCAGAGGAAGTGAGACAATTCATGCTGACCATCAGACTGAGGACATCTAGTGGCAAAAAAAGTACTAAGGGGAAAAATCTCTAAACTGAAGCTAAATATTGCAGCAAACGCCGGTTTGTTATTTTATCTTTTCATGGGCTGTTCATTTTTAGCTGGAGTTCTGCTGAAAAAAAAGTTTTTATATGAGGTAATAATGGAGTCGTGGGTTCTATTGAAGGTCTGTCAGTGGATTATTTTGTAGCCACAAAAGAAAGAATAGCTCTACATTTCATGTTAAAAAACGTGTTTGCAGTGCAAATGTTTATTGTGTGCACATACATGATAGAAGACACAAAAGGAGAAGTCGGAGCACCCGGGTTAGTGGATACAAATCCGGCTGTATAGGGCACACCGGCCTGATTTAATGACATGGATGTCAGTGACCTGAAAAGATAAACACAGCCATTGACGCTTTCAAGAGAACCAGCCATGATTGTTGGCTTACTCAAGATTCTGAATAGTCATTGTGTCAAGTTTAGTGGTCCACCTTGTAGTCACTTTCTATCCTGGTAAGGAGGAGTTCAAAGAGAAGGCACGCTACAGCAGATTCCTTCATGGGGGGGGGGGGGGGGGGGGGGGGGCGGGTGAGGGGAGTTCGTTAGGAAGAGTTAGGAATCTCTGTGAGGTTCATAGCGTATCTTCTTGTCCCTGTGACGATAGTCCTGGACTTACAGGGACAGCACTGGAACATTAGGATTGCCCTATTGGCGTTTCTGTCGAATAGTGTTGCTGTGGTGTATGAATAAGTATATCTGTAAAGAATAAGTCAAGGCAACTGGAGTTGCTGTAACTGGACTTGCTTATTCATGTACGAATAAGGTTTCTAGATTTTGGGCTGGTTGTTTGTACAGGCTTAAGGATGTCCACAATTTCCTTGGTTTGTAATGTCCCTAAAAACATCTAAGATTGAAGCGCCAAACCACAAATGAATAGATATAAATGTATTCCAATGTAGGATCAAATAGAGCAGTGGTTCTTAACCTGTGAGTCGCGACCCAAAAGTGGGTCACAACCCACAGTTGAAGGGGTTGCCAGTGTCTTGTGCTGCGCTAGGTGAGAGGCTCCTCAGCCTCCACCCAGGCTGACCCAGGCTTGATCCTCCCCGTCCGCGGCAGTGGACGGGGAGGACCAAAGAGAGGGGAGCGGGTGGGAGTGAGGGGAAGTGAGTGCCAGTGATCTATCAGTAGCCACACTGACCACTACAGAGCCCGCACTGGCCACCAAAGAGCCACGCTGACCACCTGAGAGCCCGCACAGATACTAGTATTGGTGCATCCCAAAATTTTACCGCTGGGGGGTCACCAAAACTTGGCAAATGTTACCAATGGGTCCTGGCCCTAGAAAGCTTGAGAACCACTGAAATAGAGCCAACGCTATCCGGGGGCCAAAGATTGCCGCCTTCATCAGGGCTTCATGGAGATAAGAAACAATATATATAGACTGGACTGGATGACCAACTCAATGTTGTGGCATGTTATTCATCAACGTCTGGTTAGATGCACTGTGCTTCATCATTTAATTGGCTAAAATAGGACACATATTGTACTCTTTAACCAGGCCAGTCTATGTATAGTGTTTCGTCTTCAAGCCCTGATAAAAGGGGCAATTTTGGGGGTTTCAGAAATGCGCTGGCTCTACTTAATCTTACAATGGATTTGTTTGCATCTTGACTACCGGTATTCATTTGTGGTTTGGCACTTCAGTCTTAGATCCTTTTCATTGCAATATAAACAGCCATTTGACTTTGTTCCCTTCTCTATCCATGCTACAATTTTGACCAAAGACTTTAAGAAAGACATGTATGTATGTATGTAGGCATGCACCAAAGATGTGTTACATTTCTGTTTACATGTGGTATGATGAATACCACCACATCTTATGATTCAATACTGATCACATTGGAATTATAAGCATTAACCTTTTGAAAGAGCCCAATTTTATCATGGTCCTAAAGGTGCCAGTATGCTCTATAGACATCCCGGACACCTACCAAGGTAGAGCAGTGATACCTGGTGGCTATGACAGTTATAACTTCAGATACATGATATCGAAGGGCAATATTATACACTGCCTGGATTTCGGGCATTGTTATGATCTGGGGTTGCTTCAGTTGGCCAGGTCTAGGCTCAGCAACGTTGTGTCCCCAAAAAATGAGGTCAGCTGCTAACTGAATATACTGAACGATCAGGTTTTCCCATCAATGGGTTTTTCTTCCCTGATGGCACATTGGGCACATTCCAAGATGGCAATACCAGGATCCATCGGGCTCACATTGTGAAAGAGTGGTTCAGGGAGAATGAGACATCATTGTCACACATGGATTGGCCACCACGGAGTCCAGACCTTAACCCCATTGAGAATCTTTGGGATGTGCTGGAGAAGACTTTACGCAGTGCTCTGACTCCCCCATCATCACTATGAGATCTTGGTGATAAATTATTGCAACTCTGGATGGAAATAAATGTGGTGACATTGCATAAGCTTATCGAAACAATGCCACATTGAATGTGTGCCGTAATCAAAGCTAAAGGGGGTCCAACGAAATATTAGAGTGTGACTCTTTTGGCCGGGCCGTGTATATGGCTTTATACCGAGTTGTTTTTATTGGTATGTGTGTGCATTTATTTCTGTTTTAAATACAGCCTTGTTGCCTGGACTCTGATGCTGGAATCTACCTAATCTGTTGAGGAACACCAGGCCATGATGACCTGTTAAAGGAACACCAAACCTTCAAATTGTGTTTTTGCAAAAGGGACATATGGTTTTAAAATATCTACCCGCAGGACAGCTAGAGCTCGGGGAGCAAGGATGTTTCCTATGCAGCCTATGGATTGGTATTGGGAAGACTTCACTGTGAGCTTCGTTAATCACAAATAGAAGGTCAGGATGAGGTCTTATTACATCCTCTCAATTTGATCAACAACTGCCTAAAGTCTCAGCATAAGCTTGTAAGGAAGCGCTGGCTTCCTGAGCTCCAGTGGTCCAAAGGTAACCGGGGGTACGCATTGCAACTTGAATATGTCCTAACGGTTAAAAAAATATATAATTTGAAGCTATAGTGGTGCGTTAAGACTTTGGTGGCTCAGGTACAGGATCTATAACCAGTGTTTATGTTTCCCCATCAGTCTCTTAAAATAGATGGGATAAGAAGAGGGGGGCTGGGTCCAGAGACTGGAATGTAATGGCGGCTGTGACTAAGCCAGCACTAGCCAATGGACCAGCGGAAGAGAGTCCCACACTCAGGAGAGCTTCTCAGGAACAGCTCAAGGGAAACGAGGAAGAGCAGAAGGTCAACGTAAGTACAGCCCAAGGGACACCCCTTCTCCGCACAGTGTCTGTCCTGACATCTTCCTTCCTCTGCATCTGAACCTATAGACGTGACTGTTGCTTCTATGGAGGGGCAGAAGGGCTGTGAAGAGAGGTGGCTAGTATGCCATTGAACAGCTGGGCAGAAGGATTGTATTGGGACACCTTCTCTGTCCTCTGCCTTGTCCTACTTTACTGGTCATGGTCCATCTCTCCCCAGTCCATGAATCATTCTCTGTCTCTCACTAACCCGTCATTTATCCACCTCTGCAATTTTCTGTGCTTCAACTAAAGCATGTGTGTTATAGTACAGCCATTGGTCAATGTACAGCAGAATGTCTCTATATTGAGTGTATATCAAAGAGTTTGCTACATCTCTAAGAAAGGGTTAAAAGGGGAACCCAAATGTGATATTACATCTTAGATGGATCGGGGTGGGCTGAGTCAGCCCCGGGATACTCCAACAGCGATATCTCCCTACCAAAGGGCGTAACTGGTAATCACAGGGCCCCATAGCAGAATTTTGTATGGGGCCCTGTGATTTCTAGTTACGCCCCATTCAGAGCCCATTTGAGATCCCAAACAGCCCACCTGAGAGCGACCCTGCAGAGACCACCATATATTCTATATGGTGGGCTCTGCAGGGTCTCAGGTCGGCTGGTCACACCCCTGCACACCTCTTACCTGTCAGCCCCGATCCGCTGTCAGCCTTCTCCACCACTGGTCCCTGCCTCCTCCTCCTCCACGGATGCTGGCGGTCCCCGCCTCATCCTCTGTTGCCTCCTTCGCTGCTGACGCCTTGCCCAGCTTCCTCCTACACAGCTACTGGCTGTCACTGACTCAGCAGTGGCTGTGAGGAGGAACGCGCCGCTGCACAGATCACTGACAGGTTGTCAGTGATCTGAACAGTGGCGTGTTCATCCTCACAGCCGCCAGTGACAGCCAGAAGCCTGCGGTGCCATAGTGACCCAGGCTGCCCGCAGGTCATCAGGGGGACCCCTTAATTCCTCGTCCTGGCCGGGCCCCCCTGTCCCCTGGGCCCCATAGCGGCTGCCTGGGTCGCTATGGCGATAGTTCCGCCTCTGTGCCTACCATAATTCTCGACTCTGTCCACCTAGTTTAGGGTGCTGCCGCCCACCTCACCTGGCTTTTTTGGTATTCCCACCCTCTTCTGTGAGTTCCCACCCACCTTTGCATGTTCCATTATATGTGATAAAATATCCCACAGGGATGGCGTGAGACGGGAGTCCTTCATAATGTGCACAGCAGCTGTGCGGAATGCACCAACCTCAAAAGAGGGATAGAAGAAACTGTCAGGAGGTTAGAGAACTAAAGCCAAAACTTTTTTTTTGGATACAGCAAGGGAGGATTATACCCCGTCAGCATTTTTTTTCCATCTGTCCCATTGAGGAGATGTTCCTTCACTAATTGTCCTATAGTCACAACAGGAAGTGAGAGGAATCCCTGGTGGTCAGCAGGGTCACCAGACCTAGTGTCCCCACTTTTTATTCCTGTTCTGAGAACAACCAAAAAATGTTGGACTTTTTTGCACTTTCACTTTTAGTGATAACGGTCACCAGGACAAATAGAGAGGGTGAATCTCTCTAACGGGGGACACAGACAGCAATAAAAACCTTACGGCAATATCGGAACAATACCACATTTTGGCCACTAGATGGAGCTGAGGAGCATACATAATACCGTAAATACTTATTTCCTATGCTTCTCAGCACCATCTAGTGGCCATCATGTGGTATTTTCCTAACATATTTATTTGATCTGAAAAGAAAATCTACTAAGAATCTTAGTTTTTGCCTCTATTCGCACAAAATGAACGTTCACGGAATTTCGCAGGCGAAAGGGCTCTATAAATTGGTTAGAAGTACACTCCCATCTGTGTCTCTACACCGCACAACAAGACATTCCAAGGAGACGGGGGAACAATTTGTGTCTGCAAAGTCATTATAGCATTATTCCTTACGAACCTGTAAGGAACCGAACATTAATATATAAGCACTTAATAATGCCATCTAATATTAGTAAAACATATAATAATCATTTTTCTTGATCTAATCCTTTAGATTTTGCTCTCAGTCAGATGTTCTCCCAGAGGAATGATGAGTGGGATGTTCCCGGTCTGCAGTGGTCAGAACCTTCCAAAAGTGGTCCAAGGAAGGAAAACCAAAAGTGGTCCAAGGAAGGGTCATGGGTGGCCAAGGCTCATTGATGCACGTGGGACAGGTCCATGTCGTCTGGTCCAATAGAGGAGCTATTGTAGATCAAATTGCTGAAAATGTTAATGTTGGTTCTGCGGCGTCTCAGTATACCGCGAGCTGTAGATCGTTATATACTGAGCCTAGGGTGATGGGAGGACGCTAGTTTGTGTCCTCCCGTTACCCTAAGGAGAACTATGGGGAACACCCCTGACCCCATAGTTCTCCTTTAAATGGCAGCAGACATCCTGTGTAGTCAGAGCCGTGTCCTCTATAAACTGCTGTGTGGATGGATCCGTGACTCAGATGAAGCCATATATTATTTAATATGTCATGTAATACCGGGAGAACCTGTCACGTCCCGTCACCCAGCCGTCTTTGTATCCCTTCCTATAATGTAACAGATCCACGTGACCGCCTGTTCTGCTCAGAAGAACGCAAATATAACCCCGCAGCCGGTATTCTCAGTGTAATTACTGCGTTTTACAGTCTGTTTTAATGTTAATCCACCCGTGGCCTCACCATGAAATCATGCAGGTCCTTCCACTGACGCCAGACATTGTACCACGACCAATCAGAAGGTGTCTTTTAATGAACACAGACAGTAACATTTGATTGGTTGGGTTACAGAGTTACTGCACTTTGTTCCTTATCACTCTTTCAACAGCAACATTGAATTTGTGGTCTCCTAATGTTCTGATACACATGTAAATGTAACAAGCTTAAAGAGAACCTGTCCCAAACTTTAAATGCTAACATGCTCAAGCCCCTTTACATGCTCCTCCATACCTGGGATCCCAATCTGAAAAAAGCAATTTCAGGGAGGTGCCCTTCTCATTTCAGGGAGGTGCCCTTCTCATTTCAGCACCCGCCTGAAATGACCTTTCTTCCCCACATCCAATCACTATCCAAATCCTGCCGCCTTCACCTTTGTAACATCTCAAAAAAAAACCCTTCCTCACCAAAGAAACCGCAAAATTACTCATACACTCCCTTGTTATCTCTCGTCTGGACTATTGTAACTCCCTCCTCATTGGCCTTCCACTGCACAGGCTATCCCCCCTTCAGTCTATCATGAATGCAGCTGCCAGACTCATTCACCTTACCAACCGCTCAGTGTCTGCATCCCCCCCTCTGCCAATCCCTACACTGGCTTCCACTCACCCAGAGGATAAAATTCAAAATATTAGCAGTCACTTACAAAGCCATCCACAGCTCCGCCCCCGGCTATATCTCAGACCTGGTCTCAAAGTATCACCCTAAACGTCCCCTCCGCTCATCCATTGACCTCCTGCTTTCCAGCTCCCTTGTTCACTCCTCCCATACTCGCCTCCAGGACTTCTCTAGAGTCTCTCCCATCCTCTGGAACTCTTTACCCCAACCTGTCCGTCTATCTCCCACCTTGACTGCCTTTAGGCGATCCCTAAAGACTCATCTCTTCAAGGAAGCCTATCCCACCTCAACCTAACCACTGAACCTTCACGTTCTCAAACAATTCACCCCCACACAGCTACCTCCTCATGTATCACTGGCCCCTCCCCTTTTAGATTGTAAGCCCTCAGGAGCAGGGCCCTCCTTACCATCTTGTCTTGTAATGTCTTCCTTATATTGTAAAGCGCTGTGCAAACTGTTGGCGCTATATAAATACTATGTAGTAATAATAATAATAGCACGGGAAGCTATTGCTTCTTTGCTATCTGCTGTTTTTTTGGGGTGTATTTGTAATCTGACAGCTGCTGCCGTCAGAATAAAAAAAAAACAGCATAAGAATGCATAGCTAGATTGCTATTGGCTATTTCAATTATTTCAATTTGCAATATCCAATAGGGAGCTGGCTATTGCACCCGTCGGCTCAGTAGATCGGGAGGTGAGAGACCACCTCTCAGGAAAGTGAGCAATCAAAGGCATGGAATTTTACTGACCCAGAGTTTTCTTCAATATCTAACACTATTAGTACACCATTAGGGCAAGAGTTGTTGGACGCCAGACCATCACTCCTCTATCAGCTTGTTGGACTTCCCATTCCTAAACTATTGATACAAATATGGAGTTTTCCTCCCTTAGTGGCTATAACAACTCTTCTGGGAAGGATTTTCAAAAGATTTGGTATTGTGTCTGTGGGAACCTTTGGCCATTTGTGAGGTCAGGTGCTGATGTTGGATGAGAAGACCTGGATCACAATCGGTGTTCTAGTTCATCCCAAAGGATTTCAATAGGGTTGAGGTGCAGACAACTGTATGGCCAAGGATCAGTTGACACCTGATTATTACACCTCTATGAGATTGTTGGACTTCCCATTCCAAAACCATGGGCATCAATATGGAGTAACAGCCCCCACGCTTCTGGGAAGACCTTTGAAAAGATTTTGGATTGAGTCTGTGGGATTTTGGACCCATTTGCGAGGTCAGGTACTGATGTTGGATGTGAAGACCTGGCTCATAATTGGTATTTCAGTTCATCCCAAAGGATTTTAATAGGGTTGAGGTTGGGGCTCTGTGGAGACCACTTGAGTTCCTCCACACCAAACTCATCAACCCACGTCTTTATGAAGCTACCTTTGTACACAGGGGCACAGTCAGGGCCGGATTTCCCACAAGGCCAACCAAGGCCCGGCCTCAGGGCAGCAGGGAGTACAGGGGCAGCAGGGGTGTGGAATTCCTATCACATGGACATGGAGTGCCGGGCGGGTAGTTGTTTTCTACATTTACCAGAGCTAAATGTAAGGGAATCCGCCGCTTGTTTTATACAAGTGATCTCGGTGATGTCGCCAAGATCACTTGTATACAGCCTGCAGGTCTGCCATTCTCCATGGGGGGGGGGGGGGGGGGGGGGGGA